AAAGTTCACATTTTATAATTTAAAAAAAATATATACCCCCCCACCTCCACTCCCGCCTCCCATACTCAAACAACCACAGAGTGAAACACAGACAAGCAAACAACCATCTAAAGTAACGCAAACGATCAAACAATCACCAAAAGTAACGCAAACAACCACCCAAAGTAACGCAAACAAGCAAACAATCACCAAAAAGTAACGCAAACAAGCAAACAACCACCAAAAGAAACCCAAACAAGCAAACAACCGCAATCCCGAAAGCAAACAAGCAAACAACCGCCTTAGGGATGGTTACAACGACCGTACTATCAGTAGTTGAAGTGTAGTACAGCAAGCCAGCGTGGGGGGTAGGGGGGGGTGAGGGGGTGGGGGGTAGTCGAGGCTTTTGAGAGCAGTGAACAGTGTCGCTTTGTGCTAAGCCAGGTGGAAGCGTGGGAGAGGGAGAGAGAAAGAGGAAAAGGGTGAGGGAGAAGAGGGGAAGGGAAGGGGGGAGAGAGAGAGGGAAAGGGAAGGAGGGAGAGGGAGAGGGAGAAGAGGAGGAGGGAGGGGGAAGGAGGGAGAGGGAGAGGGACTAGAAGAAAGGGAGAGAGAGAAAGATATAAATAAAGAGAGAGAGGGAGAAGGAAGGAGAGAGGGAGTGAGAAGAGGGGGAAGGAGGGAGAGGGAGAGGGACTAGAAGAAAGGAAGAGAGAGAGAGAGAAAGAGAGAGAGAGAGAGAGAGAGAGAGAGAGAGAGAGAGAGAGAGAGAGAGAGAGAGAGAGAGAGAGAGAGAGGGAGGAGGCAGCGGCGACCGAAGAAGTTGCTTTGGAGATGTAACTTATAGTTATTATGCTAATTTTTGTCGTTACTTAAGATGGTGTTCTTATGGAAGTTCGCAGCTTATCATCTTTGTTATTACTATTATATTATCGTTTTTCTTGTCTTATTCTGATTAAAATTATCACCATTATCATCACCACCATTATTATCTTCACCATCATCATCGTTATCATCACTTATCACCATCTTCACCACCATCATCACTATCATCATTATCATCTCCATCATCATCACCATCACCACCATCATCACCATCATCATCACCAACATCATCTCCATCATCACCATCACCACTACCACCATCATCTCCATCACCATCATCATCCTCATTAATGATAATCTTCCCAAGCATCATTGTCGCCATCACCATCATCATCACCATCTCCATCATCATTACCATCTTCATCCCCATCACCACCACCATCATCACCATCACCATCCTCATTAATGATAATCTTCCCAAGCATTATTGTCACCAACACCATCACCATCATCACCATCATCAGTACAGTTACACCATCACTGGCATTACTACCATAACGACTCCTATTAAAATTATTAGCATAGTTACCACCATTAATTTGGGCTCCCTTTGTGTTCAAGTTCAGTCGTTCAGTGTAATTTTTTTTTCAGTTTTGCTTTATTATTATCATTTTTTTTTTTGTCATTTGAAATGTATATTATGTGAAATGTTTCATTTTGCGAGGTATCATTTGCAATAAGGATTTGCATGTATGTTATGATGTATGTGTGTTATTTATTTTATGTATATGATTATGTCGTTGTGGTAGTTCATGGTAATGAAGTGATAGTGATGTGAATAGTAATAGTAGGTAGGCCTATGTGATAGTAACTTAAGCTATTGTGATGATAGGTTTATTAGTATGATTAGTATATATGATAATTTTTAGTGATACCAATGTTGATGGTGATTGTCATCATCATCACCATCACATCACATCGTCTTCACTATCATCACCATTATCACCACCATCATTAGCATCACCGTCACCACCACCATCATCATCACCGTCGTCATCATCATCAGGATCATATCACACCACCACCAGCATCGTCATCATCATCACCATCATCAGTATCATCAATTTCATCTCTAAAATTCTCATAATCACATCATTCTCATCGTCACTATCATCACCATCTTGATTTCTATTTCATTTTAATGCAATGCATGCTGTAATAATATATTTTCTTTGGGTTTAGAAATTTGTAGGCTTGTTTGTCAGCGAAATTACTGTAAACATCATATTTCTCTTTCACACTAACACATTAAAAAAAAAACAACAACTAATGACTAATAACAATATCAATGGCAATATTGTTGTTATTCATGTAGAAACTATTCACTCCAAATGACTGCTTTTAATGATATTTATAAGTACAGGTCTAATGGATTTTATTTAATGATATTGGTAAGTACAGGTATTACTTTTTTTTTCTCTGATCATTAAAAGCATCAGTGTTAATTTAACGTAAACAATGCCGTGCTCATCGTGCTATTGAAATGCAGGTAATCTCAGTGTTTATGCTTATTAAGGACATAATTGTGAATTTATCGAAATCATTAACACACTCCTTTGGCAATTATTAAACGGATATCGAGTGCTATTTTTTTAATATATGCTCGTGGAGAACATAATTTGGAATTTATCGTACGTATTATCGTATTCAGATTGATAATAGAAAAAAAAAATGAATAAAAAAACAGAAGTTCGCACGTGGCATTCCCCAGTGCCATGTGTCACTCCGGCCACTCCA